ACTGCCTTTGAACTCATAACTCTGACTGCCTTTGCCTCCTGAGTGCTGAGAACAAAGGTGTGCATCATCAGGACATAGGGACTTAAAAGTTACCTCTGCCCCAGCTGACATGGAAGCAGAAATATCAGACTCAAATCCTAGCCCTGCTCTTTCCTAACTTGGGCAAGTGAGCACAACTCCGAGCCTGTTTCTCATCAGTGCCATGAAAATTACACGCCTCATTTCAGATGGTCGTGAGGATTGGACGAAATGTTAGGAGAATGTTATGGTGGCAGGATAACACACTGTAAAAACATCAAGTTGTTCAGACGTGAAAAATGCAATGAGGACGGTGTCCTTTTAAATGTTCATCGTAGAAAGATATTGAGTAGGAAAATGGAAATTCTTTCTAAAAAGGTATAGACCTGTAAAAATTCAGGGTCTTATTTTTGGTGGAGGGAGGACATAAGCATAAATAACCCTCTGGTTGAACCTTAGTGTGCATTTTGAGTGTGCACTACTGCAGCTTGAAGAAAAGAAGCACTGTGTGGTGAAGGCTGGAACTTTTGGAACAGGTGCTCTTGGAGCCAGTCCTCTGGTTCCAAGTCTGGGTGCATGGAAATCATCTGAGCTTGTGGTGGAATATTACTTTCATTAGGCAAAGATGTGTTACATTAGTTCTTTCAGCATTTGTTTAATTATGTAAAGATGTATTCCGTTTGCTTCACCTTGCCTGCCTAAGTCACCTGATTGGTCTAATAAAGAGCTGAATGGTCGGTCAGTAACTAGGCAGAGAAAGGAGAGGTGGGAGTGCTGGGCAGAGAGAATAAATAGGAGGAGAAATCTAGGCTTGAGAGAAAAGAAGAGAATGAGGGAGAAACAGAGGGACACGACCAGGGCCAGAAGCCAGACAGCTCCCAGCCAGACATTGGAGGAAGCAGGAAAGTAAGATTAAAAAGAAAGAAAGGAAGAAAGAGAGAAAGAAAGAAAAGAAAGAAGGAAGAAGAGGAATGTAAAAAGCAAAATATGGAAGAGAAACAGATTAAATTAAGTTAAAAGAGCTAGCTAGAAATGAGCCTAGGTTAGGCCCAACATTCATAACTAATATTGTCTCCCTGTCATGATTTAGGAGCTGGTTGGTGGCCTAAAAGGAAGCCTGGTGCATGAGGTTCTAATTTAGGCCTACTGATATGGAATCATGTGAGAGGTACATGATCCAAAAGTATACATCCTTACAAGCTTCCCAGAATGTGGTTATGTGGTGATCCAGGGGTAAATGTTAGAGAGCCAGGGCTTTGAGGGACAAAGATGATTGACCCAAAGCTTGCCATGGAATAGCAACCTTTTCTCTGAGGAAGAGGGTCCAACAATATATGGAGATTAAGGCTTTGGGAACTGGACACAGGCAAATATAGATTTGAGTCCTGGTTCTGCCATTTTCTGGATGTTTGGTTTTATATTAGTCACTTGACTTCTCTGAATCTCTGTTTCCATCATGGTTAAAATTAAAGGAACAGATCTAGGGGTGTAATTCTGGTAGAGCACACACTTAGCATTGGTACAGTCCTGGGTTTGATTTCTAACAAGGCAAAGAAAAAAATGCAGCAATAAATTGAAAGGCTAATAGTCTCAAGGTTGTCTTGAAGACTGAAGGAGATAATTCCACTTGAAGCACTTATCGTATTGCTTGGCACAAAGGAACACTCAAAAACTATTACAGGGGTATGTTTTCCAGATAAAATGAGAAATATTATATATAAGACACTAAGGCCTGGCTCAAGTACATGCTCAGTAACTGTCTGCACTTTATTAGAGAAAGCTGACGTCTACCAGTGGGAGAATACTGGTCCCACAGTTATAGCTGTGCATGTGCACACAGGTGAACACCATACCCATTCCTTCTTATCCCTTTTCATAGTGACAGGTAGGTGTACTTGTGCCAGGAAGTGCATAAGGTTCCTCTGCTCTAGTACCCTCTAGGTGACATTGAGCTGTTTTTTATTACTCCTGCCCAGTTCCTGGGCAGCCAGCTAGGAAAGCCTGGAGGATCAGAAGCAAGCTTTCCTCCTTGATACTGAATTTCATCTCTCTGGACATCCCTGTAAGCCTTCATGTTTGGTCTATGCCATCTGGGTTCACCCAGGGGCACCGTTTGAGAACCACTGATGAAGGGGTTCAAGCCTATGGTTTTAACCTTGCATTTAAGACAACATTTACTTTGATGCCCACCCCGTCTTTCCTGCTTTATCTTCTCTTCAATCGTACCTGTGACCCAACTATACTTGACCCTCCCTTTTATCAGCCCATCCTTGTCTTATGCTTTTATTCAGGTTGCTACTGCCTGAAATGAACTTTCCTGTCTAAACTGCCAGGAGAATTTCAGGTTCAGGTATTGTTTTATTTAGTCAACCCCAATGCCTTTGTATTTTCTCTTGGCTAATGTTATGGCCTTTAGGATACTATCTCATGGTTATTTGTATGCCTACTCCCCCCTCCAAGAGTGGGGCCTCGTTTAGTTCATCTCCATGACACCAGCACTCAGTATGGGGCCTAGCACAGGATGGGCATCATAAATATTCCATGAGTTGTAGGTAATTGAATTTCTTCCTGACCTGGCATGGTCTCTGGTACCCTATCCTTCTCCCTAGATTTGGGGCAGTCACTACAAGCCAGGACAGGGCCTTTCCTCATCTCTCAAGCATTGTTGAAGTTTGCGGTCCTTTTCAAACACAAAGGGGAGTGTTCTCTTTATCTGTCCACCTGTTGCTAGCACTGGCACTCCCCATTCACCATAGTTTCCCAGGCTGTCCCCTGCCCAAGGAGCAAGGGAACGTGGAATCTATCAGATTTGGGTTCAGATCTTGACACCTTCATGGACTGATGGTGTGATCTCAGGCAAATATCTTATGCTTTCTGAGTCTCGGTTTACACATCTCAAAACTTGAGATAAAAAAATCAGCTCTATTTCCTTTGCAATCTGGTTGCCCGATCTCTCTTCTGTTTCAGCACGCATTTCTATCTTGCCTTCACTTTTCCTCCTCCTACCTCGGTCTCCCTGTGGCTCTCAATGTAATGCTCTGGTCCCCACCATCTTTGTGTCTTTGCTCCTTCCCTGTCTCAGCCTGGAGTCAAGCAGCAGAGGCCAAGGAGCCCAGCAACGCGCAGTTCTTCCCTTTCTAGGCTCAGAGCAGAGTCTCAGTGTGCTTGTCTCTGTGTGAGCCAGCTGGGAGAAGAGGTAGGGAACAGGGAGGTTTACATACCTCAGAACCTGCACTTAGACACACTCGTCCAATGTCCCTGTCTTTGGGGAAATAAAAGTCAGAGTTCAAGACTTTCCACTTACCACGTCAGTGGCTTATCACTTTCCTAGGGTTTAACCTAAAACTTTTTCCTTATTCAGCTTCCTGTGTGGTCTGCAGGCCCTGGCAACCTCTCCAGCTGCACCTGCCTGCCCCCCCCGCCCCATTCCATTTCAGCATCCGTAATCCTAACCCACCAGTTTATTTTTGCCCAGGCTAGCTCCTGGATGAAGTGTTTCTTCCCATTGGTCTGCTTCAGGTTCCAGACCATGCTGCATCAGACCACTTCCTCAGCAAAGGCCTCTTAGATCATGTTCTGTAAAGCAGGGCCCCCTTCCCCAGGGTTCCTTGTTCCAGAGCTTCATTTCCTTGAGGGTGCTTGTCTCAGGTTGCTGTTACATCTGTTTATATTTGCTGTACCACCCCCTGCTGGGATGCAAGTTTCATGAAGTCTTCATGAAGGCAAGGACCATGTCTAAAACCATTTATCAGTTACCCACTTACTTATTGAGCATGCCAGATACCAGGCCCTGAGGGACAATGCTTCCCCAGGGGAGCCCACATTCTAAAGATGGTGATAAATACCAAATCCATCAAATAGCAGGCGGTCTGTTTATAACTGCAGCAACCCTCTTCCCCCACTGTTAGTTCTACTCCCTCTCCACTGTTGCCCCCCTGAATTCAAGCTCCATGAGGGTGGAGTTTTTTTTAATTTATGTTTTAATTTTAAATTGTATGTGTATCTATGTGCATGAGAGCACAGTGCCCTAGAAGGCCAGAAGTGGTCACAGTCAGGTACCCTGGAGCTGCAGTTACAGGCAGCTGAGCCACTGGACAGGGTGCTGGGAATCCATCCTCCATCCTCTGCAAGAGCAGTATGTGCTAACCACTGATCCATCTCTCCAGCTCCCAGAGATTTTTCTGGTCTGTTTTATAACTCCTCCGTGGCTTACAATAATTGAACCAATGACCCTGTATCTGGTGAATGTTTGAGAACCAATGGGTTCCCTGATGTGAGTTCGGTTCTGATTCAGATCTTGGTGTTGCCTCATACTGATGCATAATCATGGAAAAGTCATGGTCTATAATCTCAGTATTCTCAACTGTGTAACGGGATTACAGAAGTCTATGCCTCCTAGGACGATGGTGAAGATTAACGGAGTCTCAGCGAGAGAGGCACATACATGGCACCTGATCTTATGTAGTCACTGACAAGTAGTTTGCTGGTGGTTGTGCAAGAACTTGAGCTGGGCAAAGTTCCAAATTTATTTACCCGGAGCAGCCAGAGGTTACTATAGGAGACACGAGAGTTAATGAGAGAGATGAATTTCATGTTACTGAAAGTAAAAGCCAGAATTCTAAAGCCCAACAACATTTTTTGGTAGGTGAGGAGTGCTCGGTCATTGGAGGGAGGTGGGAAGGTATATTCGGAGGGTTCAAGGTAAAAAGAAGTTAAGCAAAGGAGGGGACAGAGAAGCCAAGTGTCCCTGAATCACAGTCTCAGCCGTGGGCTACAAATGCGCTGTCTGAGAATGCTGATGTGACTACTGGGTCTTCTCGACGGTGTGCTGGAATGGGGGAAGGGCACGCCGGGGCCGGCGGGCCCAGGGACCCCGGACGCAGCGCGCGCCACCGCCAGCAGGGGACGCCTCGAGACCGCGGAACTCGTGCCCGGGGGCCTGACGTCAGCGCCCCTCTTGCTTGGGCTCCCGCTCTGGACTCGGCTCCAGTCCCGCTCCGCGCGGCGCTGCTCCGCTACGGCTCCCGCTCGCCTTCGGTTCGGGCTCCGGCTCCGGTGGCGTCGCCTTCCCAGCAGCGGGTCCCCAGGACCCAGGCAGCGGTCCCCAGCCATGGCCCGTGCTCAGGCTCTGGTCCTGGCGCTCACCTTCCAGTTCTGCGCGCCGGAGACCGAGACTCCCGCAGGTAAGCGCGCGCGGTCCCTCCGAGCTCATCCCGCGAGCCGGGATGGCTCGTCGCGCGTGTCGGAGTGCGGGATGCTCAGTCGTATGTTCCGAGTGTCTGTGACCGCTGTGTCCGTAGTTTGTGTGCAAGCTGAGGCTGCTTGTGTGCCGCGGCTGCGAGTGTGCTGGCGTGCGTTTCTCCTGCGTGGGGTACTGGGTATGCTCGTGTCTGCCGGTGTCTGTCCGTGCTGCCAAGTGGGTTATGTATTTGAGTTTCGGTAGCTTGGCTGGAGTTGCGTCTGACACTGTGTTGCATTTGTTGGCTTTTTTGTATTCCCCAGGCGGGAGTGCTGTTGCTGGTGCGTTCGAGAACCCGCGTGTTGTTTTATGCGTGTGCTGCGAGGGTTCTGTGGATTCTGCTCGAGTGTGGGCCCGGGAACGCGTGTGTGGTTTGCGTGCGTGTGCAGGCGTGGGAACGGGTCGGAACCTGTGTGTGTACGCGCGCTGTGTCCACGAGTGTCCCTGTGGGAGTGTTTGGCGTGTGCAGTGGCTGTGTGGGTCCGAGTGAAAGCCAGGGCTGGGGAGAATGCGTGTGGGGGAGCGTGTCTGTAGTGGATGTGAGTGTGTCGGATGCGTGGCTAGGAACGCTGCGAGCATGGGGCGCTCCTGGGCCGTGGTCGAGTGTGGCGGGGAGCTGAGGGTATGTGTGTGTGTGTGTGTGTGTGTGTGTGTGTGAGTGTGTATGATCACGCGCGTGTGCGTGGCGCACCCGGCCGGAACAAGTTGTTGCGGTAGCGTCCCTCGGAGGCTGGGGCGGCCCTGCGGCTAGTGAGGGAAGGAGGGGGTGGAGACGCTGCTGTGGCCGCCGACTCCGACATTTCGGGCCGTTTGTTGTTTCCCAAGTTCCGCGCGGCGCTGGCTGGCGGCTGATCCCAGGCGGCGCCAGGGCCGCGGGGCGCCCGGGTGGGGAGGGCCTCGGGGCGCACCCGGGTGCGGGCGGGGCTGCGGAGTCGGGGCCCCCGCAGGGTCTGGATGGAGGCCGCGGGACGGCGTCCCTATCGTGGCTCGCCAGAGGCGCCGGGGACGCCACGGTCCCCGGGGACGCTGCCTACGTCTGCTTTGCAACTTTGTGCGGCCTCCCGACTAGCCGGGGCCGCGCGTGCGGACGTGTGTGTGAATGTGTGCGTGGGGCTTCCGCTTGATCTGCGGTGTGATCGCACGATTGAGTGTGCGTTCGAGTCTGGTGTCCTTTGGAGGGTGTGTGTGAGCGTGTGTGTGAGCGTGTGTGTGAGCGTGTGTGTGTGTGTGTGTGTGTGTGTGTGTGCGTTCGCCTGTCTGAATGTGTGTGTTCAGCGTCTGTGTCTGCGTCCGCGAGCGTATCGCATCGTGTGCTGTGTGGAAGGTGTGTCGGTGTGTTTGTGTATGTGCGTGGTGGCCCACAGTCCTTTCCTGAGGCCTCGACCCAAGGCATTTGTCCCTCTAGCGGGTGTGCTTCCAGGGCTTTTCTTCAAGGGCTTTCTCTTTCCCTGGCTCCAGCCACCCGGCGTGGGGTAGCGGGGAGCCGCCCCGGGTGGAAGGAGAACCGTGACACGCGCTGCCGCCTCGGGTCCCGGGAGAGACTCCAGGCTGCTTGCCCCAGACAGCTGGCCTCCGGTGATTTGGTTCAACCTCCTACTCCACCCCGCCTGCCCCGGGCATCTGGGATCTGTCTGTCCTGGCCTTGCCCTGCAGCTTTGACCTCCTGGTATGCAAGAGGGTGACCCAGGCAACTTATCTTTTAGACCTTTCTCAACCCTTCTAACCTTCCCCACTTTGAGATTTGAGATCGAACCCTCCGTACTCTCCGACTCCACCCCACCCCATCCCCTTGATTTGAAAACATACCTGGACCTCAATTGCCATGACAATGGACTGTCAGGATTGAGGTGTGGGAGACCCACTGCAGATTATTCTTATTCCTGGGGCTCGATTTCCCTATCTGCTTCATGGTGTTAGTTATGATCCTGTACTTGGTAGAATGTAAAGCCCCCTTGTTGGGAAGACCAGAAGAGTTGGAGGGGTGTGGCAAAGCCCCAGAGGCTAGAGGGAAATGGGTTCAATTTTGCCTCTGCTACTTTCTCTCTCTCTCTCTCTCTCTCTCTCTCTCTCTCTCTCTCTCTCTCTCTCTCTCTCTCTCTCTCTCTCTCTCTCTCTCTCTCTCTGTCTCTGTCTCTCTCTCTCTCTCTGTCTCTCTCTCTCTCTCTCTCTCTCTGTCTCTCTCTCTCTCTCTCTCTCTCTCTCTCTCTCTCTCTCTCTGTGTGTGTGTGTTGACCTTGGGTAAGTCACTTTACTTCTAAAGTTCCCTGGCACCTTTGAAGCTTTTACTATTAGAGACTGATTGAGAAACCCCACAAAGAAGGGAGGTGGCAGTCCCCTGTCCTCAGTCTAGAGAGTGAATTCAGTCCCCTGTCTACCTCTCCAGTCACCCAGAGGGGTTCTGTGTGTGGTGTCTCTCAGCTGTGCAAATCTGGCACAATAATTTGTCCCATTGTGCTCTGGCTCAATCTGTCTTTTTGGTCGCTAGAGTTGTGGACAGCAGGAGCGAGGGAGAGGTACCCAGAGGGCTTGTCAGGACAGACCAGACTTCTTTCTGGGGCTCAGCAGGGAGGCTAGGCAGGGAGCCAGGAGGGTGGCCTGTGCCACACTTCCGGACTACGTCTGGTGGCAGGGCAGGTCCATGACCATACCCTAGCATGCTGCTGTCTTCCATGCTGTCCGCAGCTGGGCTCGTAGGGTGGCCTCCACACCCAGCTAGGTCAGCCAGGGCAGCAGGAGTGCTTTGTAGCTTCCCTCTGTTCTGCCCTATGCCTCCCCACCTCTCCCTTCTCTCCCTCCTCAGTCTTCCACCTGCAGGAAGGCACTGGCCTCTTCCTTCCGCTGTGCCGGAGCTCTTCCTAAAATGCCCGTTTTAAACCTCTCCTCAAATCCTCGGAAGAGCTCCCCAGTAGTTTCCGAATTCTTTCCCTCTTGGTCCCGTCAGCGCTCTGACCCCTGCCTCCCTGGCCCACCCCGCCTTGTTTTGGGATCAGATGTTCTGGCTAGCCTTATTTACCAGTAGTCCCAAAGTACCCACTGCCCACCTCCTCCTCTCTGGACCTTGTGCAAACCATGCGTTCTCCTCAGGACTATGATTCCACATCTTCATATGTGAGTCCCTAGTTTACCTCTCAGTTTAGGTATCACTTCCTCCTTGAAGCCTTCCTTGGTTTTTCTCTGTTCTAGCCCAGGAAAGGGAAGGTAGGAGTTGATTGGATTTTTATATGATATTGTAATTGCAATCTCTTGGTCCTGTCACCCTTACTAGATCAGGAACTATATAAGGAAAGTCACTGTGGACCTTCAAATACTTAGGTACAAGGCCTGAGCCTCCTATTCTTAATAAATGGATGTGACGTATAAGAGTGAATGAAGTTGGGTGATATAGTTCAGTACTGGTGAGGCTGAGGCAGGAGGATTGATTGCAAGTTAGAGGTCGGCCTGAGTTGCACAGTGAGTTCCATGCTAGCCAGGACAACTGACATAGTTTTTTTTTTTTAAGCAAAAAAAAAAAAAAAAAAAAGAAAAAAAAAAAGAGGCAGAAAAGAATGAATGAAGTCAAGTGGGTCAAGTTCAGAGCTGGAGATGCCAGGTGGGGGCGCAATGGCTCTACTGAACATTGAATTGAAGGCTGAGGGTTTTTGGGTTTTTTTTTGCCCTGGTAAGAATCTGGAGAATTCTGCTGGTGGATGGTGTTATGTTGTGAAAAGACCATGTCCAGAAAGTGTCATCTGGGAGCTATGAGTTGAAGAGGTTGAGTCCCTGGCAGAGACTGAATGAAGGGAGAGGGCTCTTGCAGGAGGGCCCCTCCCCCCAGGCTCCTGGTGCTGCCTCCCCCTACTCTGGCCCCACCCCTGGCAGCTGGCTCCGCTTGGCCAATCCAAGGAGTCCCGGCCTTTTGTGATCAGGACAACTGTTGGTGAGGCATCGAGTCTCAACGGTCAGTGTGAACACGGGAGGAGGGGTGGGGGCCCGTGTTAGGCAGGCATTGCCTCAATCCTCAGTCACAGATCGCCTTCCTCCTGGATCCTGAGGGGCTGTCTCTGAGCTGGAGAGAAGAGAGGCCACCATTGTAGGAATTGTGGGGAGGCAGACAGATGTATGCAGGTGTGATCCTGCTGCCTGGGCAGCCAGAGTGGGTCCTGTGTGTTTATACGTGTGTGTGTGTGTGTGTGTGTGTAATGGAGGCCAGGTGCACAAGGCATGTGCATGGCCTGTCAGGGTGCCAACCCTTCTGGTCACCTTGGTGTGGCTAGATCTGAGTTTGGAGTTGGGAAGAAACAGCTGCCATGACACCCGGGGAGCACCCAGCATTTCTGAAATGGTAGTTTCTGGGTGCCCAGGGTGGGTGCACTGATCCCGGGGTGTGAGAATATTGGGGTGTGAGAGGATAGTACGGTGGCTCTGAGCTGCAGACTGGTGCCTCCGGGTCTGTGGCCCATGGGCATCTGTCTGTCCAGATCACCTTATCCAACCGAAGCTTCCATGGCGACGGCAATGCTCTTTCATTGCAGTGGTGCCTTCTCACTCACATGTGTCTATTAAATTTAAATTAGGTACAATTAATTAGAATACTAATTTAGTTCATCAGTTGCACTAGCCAAGTTTCAAGTCCTCGGCTGTTACACATTGCTAGTGGTTATCAGCATATTGGCAAGTGGAGGACATTCCGATACTTGTATGATGTTCTGTGGGCTGAGTGTGTCTAAAACAGTGGTTCTCAACCGGTGGATTGAGACCCCTCTGGGAGTTGCATATCAGATATTTACGGCAGGATTCATAACAGTAGCAAAATTAAGAATTATGAAATGTAAACAAAATAATTGTATGGTTGGGGATCACCACAGCATGAGGAACTAACTGTATTAAAGGGTTGCAGCATTAGGAAGGGTGAGAAGCCCTGGTCTAAAAGGATAAGGCTGGCAGAGTTTTAGTGTGGCCTGGGCT